TTAATGAATATCTTTTTTGTTTGATTTTGTTTTCATTTACATATTTTTTATTTCAAAATAATTTGACATTATTCTAGCAAAATTAAAAAATAAAATCATAATGTTAGTTCACATTTAATAAACTATGTACCAATATTCTCAAGAATTTAACAGGTCTCTAATTTTATCCTCATAACAACCTTATGAGATACGTATTATCTTCCATATACAAATGCAGAAAGTGAGGGTTACCAAGGTGAAGTAATGCGCCCACAATCGCATTAGTTATATAGCATTAAACTTGAATCCATGTCTGCTAAATTCCAAAACCTGGATTTTTAACCATTATGACATCTAAAGCAAAAATATTAGGCATAAGAAGGACTTTCCATAACTAAGGAGAAATCTAAGTAAATTGTCACTCATTCATTCATGTGGAAATCCAATGTATATTCACTGAGCACACTATACTATGAGTCACACACTCTCCTAGGAATTGGGGAAATAATGCCTAGAATAGATATAATCCTCACATCAAGGATCTAAAAAGAGAAAGTCACCCAAACAAATGTATTATTTGAAGTGCGCTAAATGGTATGAAGGAGAAGTAGCGGGTACGTGGTGAGTGTAGAGGTTCCAGTCTGGTGTGGCCAAAAACCAAGTTCTCCTCGAGGAGGTGATAGGAGGGCTAAGACCTGGAGGATAAGTGGGGATAGGTGGAAAAGTCTCTCTCTCACTATCTCTCAGGGTACTGGCCCGAGTCACAGTGCCAGTGAGGAATAAATTCCTGGAGTGGGGAACATAATAGAAACTGCAGGAGGACACAGGCAGGGAGGGGAGTGGAGGAAGAGATCCCCGTTTGTATATTAAGCCTGCAACGCTTGTGATATAGCTAAGCAGAAGTGTCAAGTAGACCATCTTATGTGCAGATCTGGAACTCGAATGGAGAGTCTAGGCTGGAAATACAGATGTGGGACTGGCTGACACAGGTATTAAAAAAACGGGTATTGCAGGGCGGGACGCAGAGCACAGGTGGAGAGATTAGATCTGTGAAAGGTAGAGAGATGTATTTGTCTCTTGCGATAAGTGGGAAAGTGAAAAAGAAGATAAGGATACAGATAGACCCAGATGTTATAACGTATTAATATAACATGTAAACACTATAGTGGAAATGTGGATAACATAGGAAAAAGAATTACGAACTCCATGGGAAAGGGAGAGAGGGCAGGATTAGGGAGGCAGCACGGATGATAAAATATTTGACCTGTTTTGAAAGACGAGTGAGTGCTAACCATGCTGATACCACCTCCAGAATTAGCAAAAAGAAATAAGAGTATGTCTTATGCAATATTTAGGACAAATCTATACTAAAGTATTTTCTTTTGTTTATCTGAAATTCATATTATACTGGGTATCCTATATTATCTGGCAATGCTTTAGGCAGAGAAGTTAGGAAAAAGCACTCCAGCAGAGGGTACAGGATAAAGAAAGCATGAGCCCTGCCAGTGCATGATGTATTTAGGGAATCACAAATGCCTGGTAATAAGCAGACAAAGAAGTTGTCTCAAGTAATAGAGCCACAGAGATATTCAGAGGCCATAATATAAAGGTATCTGTCTGTTTGTTTTCAGGCTAACAAGAGGTGAATTGTTCTGCCTGAAGTTCACCAGATAGGTGAACTGGTTCAGCTTGTAGGTAAATGTTATATGTATTATGGTCAAATATAAGACAGGAAAGCATAGATTTGTTAAACACCTCTGATGTGCCAGTCCCTTTTCTAGGCATGTGTGTGTTTCTCTCTCTCTCCCGACCTCTCCCCCTCTCTCCCTCTCTCTTTCTCTATACATATATATACACATATATAGTATACATATAAAATATTTATAATATAAGTATTATAAATTATAATGTAAATGTTCATAATATAAATATAGAATCATAGAATTATAAAAAATTAATAAATAGGGAAACAGGTCCAGAGCAGAAAACCAACCAGCACAAGATTTCACAGAAGTCAGTGGGACATCTGACAATCCCAGCCCTTAAGCGCTTGTCCGGGGCCCCTTCTTCTGCACAGGAGTGAGCACAATGCTAATGGATTGCAGTTTCTCTCAGTAGGATCACGTGACTATGTGGAGAGGTAAAATGTGCTCTTTACTGGTGAGAACTTATCTCTAGAGGAGCAGACCCATGCACATCTGAGTCCCCTTTCGTAACTCTCTGGGCACTTAAAAAAATTCAACCACCTTTGTTGAAATACATACACGCACATCTCCTTCCCTAAATGTTCACCTCTCTCTGGAGAGTCCTATCCTGTTTACCTTAAAACCAAACAACTTTGAAGACCTAAATACGTGTAAGTTCTTTAAAGGTTTAAACATGATTCTTCTTAAAATTTATGTGTGTGTACACTCAGTGTTTCCGAGCCTTGGCCTTTGCCTCAGGGAATAAGACAGCTTGTTTTGGCTGCACTTTGGGAACAGCACAACCGAAACATTACTTAAATAAATGTCGCAAGCCCCATCAGTGATGTCATGGCTTTGCCATGGAACTGTTGCAAAGTTGTCCATTTAAGTTATTGAAAAGGAATCCTTGAAGAGCTGCCCTTTTGGACTTTTAAGAAACTAGACCTTTATTATAACCTCCTTATTTTAGAGAACCTGACTAGGACCGCAGTTCAGATCACTTTCAGAAATACATATTTAGTGTCTACGTATTGGGCTTAGAATTTGGTGCTAATAATCTCAGAATGAATTTAACATTATCCTTCATATCTTCCCTTTCTCTCCTCCTCCGTTTTTTTCTCTACTACTTTATTCTTAATTTTTTGTTGCTTTAATCACTGAAAGGCAGTTTATAGTTTGGAGAAAATATTCCTTAATTACCATATCTCATAAACTTCAAGAAAGTTCCATTCCATTTCTAAACTTCCTTGAAGACGGTGAGAACTGAGCTGGGTGCAGAGATAATTTCAACATAATACTTTTTAAATCCTATGACAAAAATGAATTTAAAACACTTTTTAATTGAGTGGTAGTTAATTGGGTGACTTATTGTCTTAATGGCTTTTTGACTCTCTGGACGATTTTATAGTGTTGTGATAAAGGTAATGACAAGCACAAGGTGGGCTGGGACCTAATGGGGAGCTCTTGATTCAGGCTGGAACAGGGAGCGAGGATGTGACACGGAAATCCTCCTGAGGGAGGCAATGCCTGAAGAGTCAGAAAGATCACATAAAGAAGGGATGATGAAGAGTGATATTCCAAGCAGAGAGAATGCTTTAGACACATGCGTGATGGTGTAAAGCAGCAGGGTGTTTTTAAGTTTCTCCAAGGCTGACTCCATCATTTCCCGGGTAGGATTCCTGACCTCTAGAGAGATGTAGGTGTGGGGTACTTGCCTAAGGTTTTAGAGTAAGTGTCAGGGCAGGAACCAGAACACTAACTTCCTGACTCCAAATCCCTGAACTTCTAAGCCAGCATAAGATATTTAGTTTGCATGTTTAGACTACATTCCAACACCTCATTGTTAGTCAAAGTTCCTATAAACATTCCAGTTATCCCAAGCAAAATTCTTCATCTCAGGTTGCAGGAAATATCCAAGACCACCTTCTTTGCTAAAATGAAGTTTGTTATGAGATGAACAAATCGTGGAATGTCTCTAAATTTTTAATGGGGATGGATCTTAGTTACTATTATTTTGAAAAATTCTCTTAAGCAACTTTAAATTGACCCAAGTGAGAAGTTTGAATTCGACTCAACTTCCCCTTCTTTCTCTCTCTCCTCTGTTTTCTTCCATGCCTCTTCATTTTCAAAATTTTGTTGTCCTAATCACAGGAAGAAAATTTATGTTTTGTGAGAATAAATAAATTAATTATGATATTGCACTAACTTCAAGAGAGTTCCATTGAGTTATAACCTTTCAGGAACCCAGGTCAAGGTTGTAGAGGGCAGGTTGTTTGACCTTGAGCAAACCACTTCTTTGGTTTCATTCTTATCTTTCCAGTGAGAGAGATTGAACTGGCTGGCTTTTTAGGTTCTTCCTAGCACTAAAATTCAATATACTTTTTTTTAATTGCTGGCAGAAAGATTGAATATCTTGCAATTTGTTTCAAAAAATTAAATAATTTCCAGGAATTTGATTTAAGGAAGAGCTAATTTCCCAAGCATGAACTTGCTGATAGCTTGCATCATCTTCCCCTGGTCTTTTAGCCAAAGAACATCACCGCCTTTGCCCACTTCTTGAAGTTCTCTTTATTCTTCTGGCATATCTTCCTGTTCTTCTCCTTGATTCATTTTCCATATTGCTCCTGTGGCCAAACAAAAACAGAAACAAAAATAAAACAAAACCAGAAACAGCATTTTTACAATTTGGTAGAGGGAAGCCATTTAAAATATAACTATTAATATTTCGGTGCTCTAAAACAATGTCTCTATTCCCCAAGAACAGTTTGCTATGGTCTCTTCTTCTCTTCCATCTGAGAAAAAGTATCACAAGTAAGTGCAAAGCTAAAGATATAAGGGTCAGACTAATTGCTCTCGGGAGATTGTCATAAAATGTGAAGTTTTTTTCTTTCTCATTTCTGAATGTGGCAACATGATGTTCTAACAAAGCTAGGTGGAAAGAATGTTAACATCTCTTCATTCCTCAACCATAAGATCACCAACACCCATTAGAGCACTGATAACCACTTAAATTAGTTCCCTTACGCTAAAAGAAACTATTTTCCCAATGGAATGGTTCAGAGGTTCTGGGAAAATGCTCACAGAAATCTCTCATACATATACGCTGTAGTTTAGTCACGGCTGCTTTCTTCATCTTCTTGCCTCGAACTCCTTGCCTTTCCCTTGTCTTCCTCTATTGTTCTGCTTGGAGTTCCCCAGATATCCTATGATGTGCCATGTCTTTTTCCAAATTGTTCCATCTTCAAAGAATTCCCCTTTACCTCCGAGTCATCCCGCCACTTCTTGGAATGGTCCTCCAGATCACTCCTCCTGAGAATCTTCTCCTAATATCCATGAGTAGAGTTGTCATACTAACACCAATCCTGCCTCCATCATGATGGTTCTTACGTTGCACTCCAATTACTTTTAAGCATCTACCATGTGTTGGAGTGCAACGTAAGAACCATCAAGGTCTCCACTTGATTCCTCTCAAAACACTCAGCATGTGCCCAACTGAGCTCTGGAGAGCACTGGATGTGGTACTTAACTAAGGGCTAGTCAGGTAAACTGTGATAAATGCATTTTCCACACACAGAGATGACCACACAGTAGACTTCCAATGTGTGTTGAAATGATTAATTAATTTTAACTAGGAGAAGATAAAATACATAGTGTTGTGAGGGTGTGACATTTTGTTGGATAAATGAAGAAAACACTCATTTACTTCCATTCTAGAATGTCAGGGTTTATTTCAGAAACAGCTGGCCTTTCTCTAATTGAAGATAGGCTTTTTCTATGGGTATAAAGATGATGTTATGCAAGATGATTAAGTTCTAGAGACCCGCTGTACAACATAGTATCTATAGTTAACAATATTGTATTGTGTTTACAATACATTAAGACGATAGATCTCCCCGTGTTCTTACCAAAAATCACACACATATGTGCATACACACACACACACACACACACACACACACACACACACACACACACACACATACACGAACACAAGGAGGATAGATATGTTTAGCACCTTGGCTGTGGTGGTGGTACGATGGGTGTATGTACATGTCCAAATGCATCAAGATGAACACAATAAATACGTGCCTTTTTTGATATATCAATTATACCTTAATAAAGCTAATTTAAAAATAGGTTTCAGGGTGAATAAAAAAGCATTTCCTCTTGCTTATCCCCAGATGTCCTTTACCGAGTGGAAGAAAAGAGCTCTGGAGAAAGAGTCAGTAGCCTCCAATTCAAATCTTAGCTCAACCACTTAATGCTCAGTTAGCTCAGCTTCCCCACTAGTAGAGAGGAAATAAATCACCTGAGAGTGTTCTTATGACAAGTAAGGTAACACTTACGGAAAGATTTTGTAAATGCTGTAGCAATTTGCAAATATTAAGTTAAAACAGCGTTCCCCTTTTTCTCCTGAGCTACCCAATTTATTATTATTTTTATTAATCAGATGAAATTGGAAGATGTGACTATCAGAAAAAATACCACTTTCTTCTTTCCCTTTTGTTCCAAAGCTCTACCTATGGTTAACTTATTTTTCCCAGCTTTACCGAGGTGTAATTAAAAAATAAAATTGCATATAGTGAAAGTATAAAATGTGATGATTTGACATACATATACTTTGTGCAATGATACCACAATCTAATGACCACATTCATTTCCTCACAAAGTTACTTTATTTTTTAAAACATGGTAAGAATGCTTAAGGTCTACTCTCTTAGCAAATTTTCGTATGGCTAACCTTTTAAGGTGCAAGAGACCATTACAATGAGCAGTCGACTCATTATTACTTTGTAAGGCTTTAGTATATCATTGGGCATTTTGAAATTATTGATTGGAATTTGACATAAACCAATTATTAATTGGAATAGATTTGTTATCTAGTTACAAATGAGTTTATCTTGTTTTTTTTACTTGAAGCGTACATAAAATTCCATATTCTACATCCTTCCCTTGGTATTCCTTAGATTCTTCATGATTCACAGTTCTTAACACTTGGTACACTGAAATTAAATTGTTATATTGCAGATATTTCTTAAATTGCACACATGCCTGCATTTATTAGTGTTTTTGTGTTAGACAGAAGACTCAAATTTGAGTCCTGACTTCTCTACTTTCTGGCTGTGTGACACACTAGTGTCAGGTAGTATTAATCCCTTAAATGAAATACTTGCACTAATCTAAATATTGAGGCAACAGAGAAAAACAATACTCTACAACATCTTCAAGTTAACCCATTAGTCATTTATTGACACATCCTTTCATTAAGTAAACATTTATTATGTAGCAAGTCCTATAAGGGTATGCTGTCATGACAGCAAAGCAGACATGTTCCCTGGAATATAACTAAGGCCCACCCTATATCTTGGAGATTTGACAAGGTTTTGGATTAAAAGATTTGAGGTTGAGAGACACTCTAAAGTATGCCTTCCAATGGTGGATCAAGATCTGCATAAACACCATCAGTGATGAATAAGTGGCTCTGTCAGATTTGCTGAGAAAGCACTGCATTTAGATCTTTTATTTTGTGAAGTCAGTCTCTCTTCATTTTGTCAAAATCATAGCTCTTGCTGTCCCACAAAACAAAGTTTCCACTTATGTCTCCTATCATGTAGCTCTTCATAGGCAAAAATGGAGGCCAAAACAAAAAGATTCTAAGAAGTCAGTAAAAATTCTGACACAAAACAAGTTTGTTTTCAAAAATATAGTCTCATGGTTAATTCTATGTGTCAATTTCATTGGGTCATGGGAAGCCTAGATATTTGGTCAGACATTATTTTTGGTGAATCTGTGGGGATGTGTCTGGATGAGACTAACATTTCAATTATTAAAGCAGATTGCCCTCCCTAATGTGGGTGGGCCTCAACCAATAAGTTGAAGCCTTCATGGAACAAACAAGCTAAGAGGGAACTCCCTTCTAACTGCTTTGAGCAGGAGCATCATTTTTACCAGCTTGAAAAACAACTCTTCTTGGATTTCAAGCATGCTGACTTTTGGACTGGAAATTATGCTATTTGCTCTCCTAGTTCCCAAATCTTCAAACTCAGACCAGAATTACACTATGACTGCCCTCCTCCCCCACCACCCAGGTCTCCAGCTGGCTAACTTCAGATCTTGAGATTTCTTAGTTTCCATAATTGTGTGACTCAATTCCTTATAATAAGTGTGTGTGTGTGTGTGTGTGTGTGTGAGAGAGAGAGAGAGAGAGAGAGAGAGAGAGAGAGAGAGAGAGAGAGAGAGAGAGAGAGAGAGGGGAGAGTGGGGGAGAGAGAGAGAGAGAGAGAGAGAGAAGATTGAGGATGGGCCAATGCCCTGTTATTTAAGAATAGTTTGTGCAGAAATGTCTACATTGGGCAGGAGAAGGTATATTGGGGTGGAGAAGTAGGAGCTTGACACCATGTTAAGACATCTAGACTATATCCTCAAAGCATGGAAAGTCTTTGGAGAGTATTTATCAAGGAATAGATGTGTCTAGGTCGCATTTAAAAACATCAGTCTGGCAATTATGTGGGTTATAGTTTGTAGATGACCAGTAGAGGTATTTGATATTCCACCTTCAACACATTCACTGATTTGATATATTCTGAACACCTGTTATGTGACAGGCATGTTTGCTGAGTGCTAAGGTTAGAACGAGGACAAAGAGTGAGAACACAAGAATAAAGCAGATGATTTTCCTGTCCCCTTTGGATCTCACAGTCCAAAGTGGTAAAATAATTGTCATGTTTTCAGGGATGATTTTGATGTTCTTCTCAGGCTTAATCCCAAACTCATAGCAGTTTTTCATCATAATATGTGTGGACTAAATAATGGAGCAAATGACTAAGTAAATTAAGATATAGCTATTAGTCAAAGTGTTAAGTGACTAATTGACAATTTTGAAACTTGTTTCCATTTACAAAGAATTTTCTCATCCTCACCTTATATGATTCTTAGAAAGCACTGCAAAGTAGGTAATCTTTTTTATTATATCTATATATAGCACGAAGTAACTGAGGCTTTAAAAAAGTTATGTTATTTTTCATTACATGGCCAAGAAGTATAGACTTGAGTATCCTCTAATTTCAAATCCATTTTTATTTTCATTAGTCTCTCTATAGCAGTTAATAATATGCATTCCCAGAAGGTAGTTTATAGAGAGACTTTAGCCCCATAATAGCCTCCCCAACGAGGTGCAAATGCAGAAATAAATAGAGGAACTCACTGGTCAGTGAGATAGCCCAAGCACCAGCTACTGAATCACCCTGGCACCGAGCCTTTAGGCAGGTGACTTTGATCTTCTTGGCTCACTAATAAATCTTTTAAGTACTTAAATGGCTTGTCGACATAGACTCTCTTCATGAATTCCCATGGAGTCATTCAGTTGTTCATTTACCTGTTCATCCACTCAGGATGTTATCCAGCATTATTAATAAAGGCCAGACCTGAAAAGATGATCTCACTCTGGCTGAGGCGCTCAGACTCTGGAGTGGGATCTGGCAGAGATTTGCTCTCCTGTAAATGTGAGACAGGAGGCCCAGGAGACAGCAAATCAGAGGGCTATGGGCCAAGTAGCCCCTGTGGGGGTGGGAGGCATGCCCCCTTCAGAAAGCAAACATCTGGTCATGTATCTGTCTGTCCCAAG